AACAACTTCAACAGGCAACCTAGAATAGTACATCCACGCCAAAACTTGTTTCCCAGGGGAAAAAATATCCACGCTTTATCATGGAGTTAATTGCACGAAAGCGAAAACTACGCAAACGTTGGCAACAAACCAGATCTCCAGAAATCAAATCAAAATTTAACTTAGCAAATAAACAGCTACATTTAGAAATAAAATCATACAAAAACAACAAGTTCAACCAGCATCTACTCGGTCTCACAGCCGATAAGAAAATTGAGTACTCTTAATGGAAGGTGGCCAAATCTTTCAACAAAACAATAAAACATATCGCTTTGATCAGAATAAATGAAACGCAGTGTGCAAAAACAAGTCAGCAAAAGGCGAAATTGCTGAGTACCTAGAAAAGACTTTCAGCCTCAATGAAGGCCATGATGAAATGCAGACAAGTAAAAATGTACACAACAATGAAATAAATATAACTTTAGTTATACTAAAGGAAGTTATAAACGAAATACACAAAATAAAAACTCAAAAAATCACCTGGAAAATCTTGCGCCACCTGCTTGGAAATTCGCTGAGATCATCATGATACCCAAGCATGGCAAACCGCCAAACGAGGTAACCTCATACAAGCCAATATCTCTACTACCGGTCCTATCGAAGCTATTCGAAAAACTGCTACTGACTCGACTGTTACCAATAAAAGAGGAAAAAAAATTGATTCCAATCCATCAGTTTGGTTTTAGGAAAAATCACTCAACAATTGACCAACTGCATAGAGTTGTTAGCACCATAGAAAACGCGATGGAAGATGAAAAAGTATATTGTGTCACATTCCTCGATGTGTCACAAGTTTTCGACAAGGTATGGCATGCAGGTTTGCTTCAAAAATTGAAAATCATGCTACCTACAATGTACTATGAACTGCTTTTATGCCCGATATTTTAACATCAGATACGAAAACTCTTTTTCGCCTTTTAAAAAGATAACCGCTGGAGTACCACAAGGAAGTATTCTGGGGCCACTATTATATCTCCTATACACACACGATCTTCCATCAGCAGATCAGCACGTAACCGCTACTTTTGCCGATGATACTGCAATATTGGTAATAGATAGCACTATTGAAACCGCAACGGCCAAGCTACAAGAGGCCGTCAACCACTTTGATTCATGGGGCAAGAAATGGAGAATTAAGTTAAATAAAAACAAATCACTGCATGTAGTATTTTGTTTAAAAAAGACTTCCTATAAACCAATATACATTGACACTACTGCAATTCCATTCGCGGATGAAGCCAAATACCTTGGTATTACACTTGACGCCAAATTGCGCTGGAAGGCTCATGTCAAGAAAAAACGCAATGAACTTGATCTAAAGCTAACCAAATTATACAACCTGATTGGCAGACGTTCAAAACTATCTTTGCACAATAAGCTCCTCTTATATAAACATACCCTAAAGCCAATCTGGACTTACGGCTTACAGTTCTGGGGGTGCGCCAGCAAAAAGCATATGGCTACTATTCAACGCCTGCAAAACAAGGTACTCCGAAACATTGTAAATGCGCCATTTTACGTAAGAAATATCGATCTACATCGTGATCTTCGTATGCCAACAATATCTGAAGAGTCGAAGAAATGTACAATGGCACACAAACAGCGCCTACAATGTCACGTTAACGTAGCAGCATCTAGTCTTCTCCAGGCGAATCCTCTTCGAAGACGGTTAAAGCGGAAAACTGTAGCCGAACTTATGGAAATAAATTAGCACATACTTTATTTTTTATGTACCATATGCTTCTTTGAGCCTGCATCTTAAATAATTAATGCTTTTTTCTCTTAATTGTGTAACTCCAACTATATTGCTTGTTAGTATCACCTTAATATGGTAACGCTTCTGTATAACTTTTTAAGATTCGTTAATAACAAAAAAGGATTTGAAGTAACAGTTGAATAGTTGAATCTAGGGGTTCAACGGAGAGGTCTGTTAAGGCTTACGCCTTAATATTCTACAAAGTTTGGATTTTTATGTTATTTATTATTTTTATTAATAATAGTTATATTTTTTATTTGTATTTTTACTTATATTTTGCATATGTTGTAACAATTATTGCTTGCACAATTCACGTGCTATCTGTTTTGATTTTAGGCCAACGCTTTGTCAGTCATTAGTTACCAAAAGTGCAATGTTGCAATATCAGCTTTTTTGTAGTCAGTGCACTAACGAAAGGATTTGGCTTATTAAGTGACACACTTAATAAATATTTTGTCAATTTTGTAAATTAATACATTTTTTGTTTACATGTTAATTGTTTAGTTTGTATACTGCAAATTAATTCATATTTTGAATTATGTCAATAGTAAATTGGAAATATTGTATTCTTATTATATATCAATTTCACTTACTGTAATTTTGTATATAAATAGAAATATGAATAATAAACAATCAGATTTGAAACAAGAATCTCGTTTTTCATTACACACGGCAACAGCTCAAGTGCTAGTCTGCCAAATCAAAATCTCCAAAAAGCAATAGCTAAAGTGCTAGTCTGCTTAAAATTCACGTATAAAACTACTAGTTTATGTGCTAGGTAATATAAACGTTTAAAGGATAGCCTTTATTCGTTTTCACTATCCCTTTTGCTAATAATGACAACAATTGAAATATTATTAATTACTTCTAGAAGTAATTTTGTATTTTGTGGGTAATACATCTATTAGATATTTTCTTTTACGCTGGATATTATCATATTTCAAATAATCTATCAGTAAATTATTTTTCCTTTATATATATATAAACCTATTTGCTTTAGAATATCAAAACTTCATTTATTTATAGTTTTGTCTAAATGTGTTGAAAATTAATCGACATGCGTGCTGGATGCGCTGCTCATAGGTATACGTTTACTAAACTAATGTTTCGAACACATATTGTTCATTTTCGTTTGAATAGTTTCTAAAAAAACAGCTTCTTTAATGAATGTAGCTGACTACTTGTATAGAATGTCTTGCCATGGCCATGGTATTAGCACCATCTCAATAGCTGTAATTATTGTAGTGGCTGGGTTCTTGTGCGACTTCTATCTATGCAATCAACCGGTACTACGATTGCTGTACTTAAAAATGGATTGCACCTATATCAAAGATTCGCTTAACTACACAGTGCTTTCTAATGCAGCTGCATGTTCCGCTAGTGTCCTTTCCGGACTGAAATTATTGTTGTCCGCTGAAGCTGCCATCACATTTATATAGATGTGCAAGTCATTGAAGACTTCAGGATTTCTTTCTGTTTCGACCCACTAAATCTTCTAATATGCTCACTATTCATGATTATGTACTTACCGGATGGTGCGACCAACGTTCAAATGTTCCATTTGCCCATTATTTATTATTTATTTGTAAAAGATCTCTTTTTAGCTAAGCCCCGAATAGAACTTATACTTTGGTTTCATTACTTAAGTTAACTACTAAACAACCTCTATTTTTTATATTATCTGTTAGTGTTAGTATTTTTTTTAATTTCATTTGTGACAGAGTCACCAGTCATATATTTGATCACCTTCTGCTCAAAAAGTTAAAAGGATTTTGTTAACTACTCCTTAAGTAATAGACCTTTTTCAAAAAAATTTTTTTTTGTTATTTTGGTACAACCTTTCTTGACATATGGTGCAAATTTGAGCGCAGTCTGTCAATTAGTTTGTTTACAGCAGCTGTTAATGTGAGACTACCTGAAGTGCATTTAGCAATTTTTACTATGGAAATTTCATTTGAGCAACGAGTTGGTTTGAAATTTTGTGTTTTGAACGAAACTTCATGTGTTGAAGCATTGAAAATGGTGTAGAAAGCTTACGGGGACTCTTTTATGTCTCGAACACAGGCATACGAGTGGTATAAATCATTCAAAGAGGGTCGTGAAGTGTTCGAAGATTTTTCTCGTTCTGGACGTCCATCAACATCAAATACCGAAAAAAACCCAAAAAACGTGGCAAAAATCAAGAAAATTGTGCTGGAAGATCGTCGTATAACTGAAAGGGAGATTGCTCGTGACTTAAACATCTCAAATGGATCCGGTCACCACATTCTACATGATATATTGGGCATGAGACGCGTCGCAAGCTCGATTTGTATCGAAACACCTTTATTTTTTGCAAAAAGAATACCGAAAGAACGTGAGTGAAGAAATGATTTTTGAGCATAGAAACGACTCTACATTCATGAAACGCATCATAATAGGTGATGAGACATGGGTTTATGAGTATGACGTCAAAACCAGTCAACAATCGAGCAAATGGCGCTTCGAAAACGAGCCAAAACCCAGAAAACCGCTCAAAAATCGCTCGAAAATTAAAGTTATGCTCACTGTTTTTTCGACTACCGCGGTGTTGTTAATTACGAATTTTTGCGGCATTTGCATGAGTTCATCCGTAAGAAAATACCAGATTTGTGGAAAGCCAACAATTGGATTCTTCACCACGACAATGCTCCATCGCACATGGCTCTTGTGGTACGCGATTTTTTGACCAAACACGGCATCACTGTCATCGCTCAGGCACCATATTCGCCAGATCTGGCGCCGTGCGACTATTTCCTGTTCCCGAAACTCAAACTGCCCCTTCGTGGTAAGCGTTTTGAGTCGATTGAATCGATAAAAGCGAATTCGCTGATGGAACTAAAAGCCATACCTGCACGGGCCTACGTAAAGTGTATAGAAGATTGGGTTAAGCGTTAGCATATGTATATCGCTTCAGAAGGAGCATATTTTGTAGGAGATAAAATAAATTTGGAATAAAATATAAATTTGTGTGTTTTATTTACAAAATCTGCAGAAGGTATTTTTTGAGCAGAAGGTATATGTCAAAATACATTGAATACTAAGCCGAGTATATTTTTACTTAACGACAGTTAAGTAAGATAGTTAAGTGCATATATTGTTTATTCTCGTTGAACAGCTTCTTGTACGAAGTAGCCGTCACATGTGCTTTTTAATTAAGTAAAGCATTTTTTCTATTTATTTACAGAGTCAACCTGTGGCATTGAACAGTTTAGGTGCACCAACGGCCATTGCATTCCAAACCGATGGCGTTGTGATCAAGAAAACGATTGTTCTGATGGTTCGGACGAACTCCCATCACTGTGCAGTAAGTAAAAAAATTTAAATTTTAACTTAGTATTTTATTGTATCTTACATTTGTTCTAGAGTTTCAAATATTATTTAAGTTGTACGAAACTTTAGGTATTTTGATATTCGAATATGGTGATACTCGAGCACAGCGAACAGCTTGCAAATGATCAAATACCATAGCATTTGCTTCTATAAGTATGCAGATTTGCTGTGCGAGTTGCCCGAATTCCATTATACTTAAAGTGTTCGATCTTCAAAATATTTGAATACTTTGAAGCTCTAATAAGCACTAAAAATTATTTATTACCTTTAACAGCCAAAATCTGCAGAGCAACTGAAGTTAAATGCAAAAACGGTGAACAATGCATACCACGCTCTTGGGTTTGCGATGGTACACCCGATTGCCGCGATCACTCTGATGAGGCTGAGTGTAGTAAGCAATCAGTATATAATATAAATAGATTGTAATTAACCATATATAACCCAATAAGGAGGATTCCGCATGCACTAAACTTTGATGTACTAAAACTGTAATCAATTTCATTTCAAATTTTCACTCATTTTTACTAAACTTATATTTCTAAAAATATTGATTCAATTAATTCGATATTCTAAAATATTAATATTATAAAAATCTGGTGTCTATGTCTCGCACAACGGACACGTTCGATATATACAAAAACTATGCACGGGTAGTATCTGTAAAATGCTTGAAATTACTTTAAGTAAATTGTTATTTTACAAATTAAATTTGTATATTTACATTTATTACTGTTATGAGTCGCAAAAAACTGATTAAAAATTTAAGAATAAAAGCTTAGTAAACTAATAAATTTATGGTAATTTATTAAAAGAAGTTATATATATAAGAAGTTATATATACTTTCGCGCAGAATTTGTTGAACTTGTAAAACGTCTTGAATATTTCTTTAAAATAGCTGTCATAATTCACAATTAAACTTAAGTATTTAGGTATATGTCTTATTATTAACTGATGCCTAAAAAATACTTGTATGCTCTTTTAAAGGCAAATCTATTTCTATTTCACTGAAATAGATTTTAGCTCGGCGGAATTATCTAATACCTTATTTATGTTATGCATGTTAAATATTGTTTCAATGTTACATGTTTTTAATTTTTACCATTATCAAAAAACCTTAAGAAAGTTAAACCGTTGTCATATTTGATGTAACAATTCAACATTTGACGACGAGTAAACGGACGCACAGATAATCGTGAGTGCTCTTAAAGAATTTTCATTGGGCAATTAGCAAAAACACTAGACAAAAATGATAGAATATTAAGAAGCGGACTTTATAAAAAACCCCCGTTAAAGTGGTCGTTATTCATTCAACAAATGCATTAGCATTTTGTAGCACATCAAGTTCAAGAATATGAATGACGACACGCATGCTTCTTTTCATGGATAGGCACAGAGAGTGTTTAGCATCTTAAGAAAGTGTTATTAACAGCAAGATTTAAATCAGAAAACAAAGCCAACGCCGACAAAAGTACTACAGATAGCAACAGTATATGAGGCAACCATTGAAACGTTTATAGCAATAGAATGTAAAAAAGTTAAAGGTGTCAATTAAAGCAATATCGTTCGAAGTCTTGCACTGCTACCAGTTCCGACGAACGTGTTACTAATATATAAATAAATTTCACATTCTATCTGCTCAGTTTCGACTATTTTGCAAATAATTTTTTGGTCCAAATCAGGTGTCACAGCATGGTGTAATCACTTCTCTAGATGGATTAAAAAATTAATTTTCTAAAATTTTTACTTTACGATTGGGCCGATGTACTTTATTTAAAAGATTAAACCCAAATGTCAAGCCATACAACCGTCTTTTTGATTGTAAATAAATTAATCGTGTAATAAATACCGATATCCGGAAGCCTGCCAGTGGTGACTGTTGGATCGATTCTATAGTTGTAAAGTGCCTTCAGCATATTTTAACAGTTCTTGGAAAAAGTAATTGCCGAAATACCGAACTATACAGTTTATGTAGATAACACAATCATCACATGTCAATGTGACATTGACATGTGATGAAGAGCATTTGAATAATATTTCGAACATATAAATTATAAATGTTATATGTATGTAAAATCGAAAAATGTGGTTTTGAGGGAAAGCATGTAGAGTATATTGGACATATAATCAATGTGAATGTATGTCAATGCGTAAAGAGTCAATCGTAATAATGACGTAACCTCGAAATATTTGAAAAATAGAAACCTTCATTGAAAAAATCAATTATGTTATTATAACAAATTTATCAAACTAATTTCATGTTAGCGCTGTGTACGGGATATCGTCATAAGGTTTACGCAGGGTATGGCATATCCACCCATATTTTTGCTTTTGAATGTCAACATTAATAGACGTTTGGTTAGTTTGCCTCCCAGCAGCGGTTGATGAAAGTTTGTTGTGTCTTTTTTGTCTCCTCCGTTACAAGCCAAGTCTCTGATCCGTATAATAAGATAGACTTTATGCATGCTTTAAAAATTTTTTTTTTTGTGTTTGTGTGGATGTTATGTGCACGCCATATTTTTCGAAGCCTTGCTTTTTGTATTCGATTGTTTATGTCTTGTTTTGCGCCTCCGTCTATGGAGAGATTACTTCCTAAGTAAGTAAAGCTCTCCACATCATTCACATCTTCCCTGCCGATTGTGAAGCAGGTTGTATTATTGAATTTTATGCGCATAGATTCAGTTTTTCTTATATTTATTTTGAGACCCACTTTCGAGGATTCGTTTTGCAACTGGGTCAGTTTTGACATCATATGCTGGTGATTATGCGAGAGCAGGACGGTGACATATGCGTATTTTAGATCTTCAAGGGTGGAGTTAAGCCTCCAATTGATACTTCTACTTTGCGTGTTAAATATTTCCAGTACCCAGTCTGATACTACAATATATAGCAATGGCGATAGAATGCAGCCTTGTTTGACTGAAACTAGTGGAAGAGTCAAAAGAGTCACTTAATTTTCCGTTAGTAGCACTAAGCATTTTGATTGTTCGTAGCTTTTTCTTATAATGCTTATAATTACTTAACACAATTTTAAAAAAAAGTTCTGAGCACTTATTCACTTGTAAAAGTGAATAAAATTTTGTGATTACTATAGAGAAGAATTAAAATTTTCATTTCATTTCTAAATTAAATCAATTTGAACAAATTTTATGCGTGTAAGTAGTGACGCTACATATATAACACATCACTCAATAAAGCGTGTGACTATCTAAGAAAAACTAATTTTTTCCTGCCAAAAATCGATTTTACTCATAAATATAATCTCCTTCAAGGGCAATACAATCATTCCATCGCTTCTCTAACTTCTCGATGCCGTGCTTGTAGAATGATTTGTCTTGTACCTCAAAATTGGCTTCAGTCTCAGCAATAACTTCTTCGTTTGAGATGAATTTCTTACCGGCTAGCATTTTTTTGAAATCAGAGAATAGCCAGTAGTCGCTGGGGGCCACATCTGGACTATACGGTGGAGGGGGAAGCAATTCGAAGTGTAATTCGTGCCGTAATGCCATGTAGTACTTATGATTTTGCACTTTTCGAGATAGTCAATGAAGCTTATACCATGTGCATCTCAAAATACTGAAACCATAACCTTCCCAGCTGACTGTTGTGCCTTTGGAAGTTTCATACGTGGCTCACCGGCTGCAGTCCACTCAGATGATGAACGTTTTGATTCCGGAGTGCAGTGATAGATCCATATTTATCCATTGTCACATACCGATGCAAAAAATCTTATTTATTGCGAGTAAACATGGCCAAACACTGCTCTGAATCATCAACACGTTGTTGTTTTTGATCGACTGTGAGTAAACGCGGCACCACTTTGAAAAGAGTTTTCTCATGGTCAAATGTTCAAGCATAATGGTAAACACACTGCCTTCTGATGTCTTTACGGTGTCAGCTATCTCACGCAATTTCAGTTTATGATCAGATATAACCAATTTCTGGACTTTGTAAAATTTACTGGAGTAACCATTTCAATTGGATGACCAGAACATTCACCATCATCGGTGTGTAAATTCAGCAAATGAATAACAAATGGTTCTTTTCGATGGAACGAAATGTCATGAAATTTTACAGATAGTCTTTTGAAGGCTGGTACTTCATAAGCGTCATATGAATCGCCCAGTTCACCTTGTCCCTGTCGAAGATAACACCAGATAGTGCGTATTCCTGACATGTGGGAACAGTATCTTCTCTGTCTGATTTTGATATTGTGGCTCCTGTTACGGAGCCAGGGAATTGTGTTTGCAAGAGAAACTCGAGGGTGCCTTCACAACCAGTGATGAAGTAGCCATTGGGTTTTTTTAAAAGGCCCATTCGTTTGATTTTGACCTTAATTAAAGCCTTGTGTAATCTAGCTGCTTCGGGCAACTTCTCTATACTATCGCAATAACTACGCCAGCTAGTCCGTTTGGACTGTCTGAGTGATTTGTTGTAGTTAGTAAGTGCAACTCTGTATTCCTCCCACCAACCAAAGCGTTTTGCTTTATTAAATTAGTTCCATTCTAATTTGCGCTTATTCGCTAGTTGGATGTTTAACTAGGAAACCTTTACTATACTTGTGGCGTTGCCTGTAGCCGTGCTGTTATAAAAGAAGGTTAGTAATACCTCACCTAAACGGCTAGCGGCCATTTCTATCTCTTTACAAGTTCGTATAGGCCTGCCTAGAGAAAAATTTTTAAAATACACTAAGTCCCTGTACTATGCCAATTAATTTTCTTTGGCCTGTACACTTTTTCTTGCTGTTTGGATATACCGGGAATTTCAAATCTGATTTGGTAATGGGCAGAGAGAGACACTTCGCCCGACACTTAGCAATTTCACACAGATTCTTCAATGCCTCTGCTGCATAGATTGAGATCCAATACCTCTTCTCTAATTGCGTTAATAAATGTTTGTTACCTTTATTACCTATAGTTAATCCTAGAAACATAATATATTCTAATAGGTACTCACCCCTTTCATTAATATTACTGCTTCCCTACACTGTATGGTGAGCGTTTGCATCACAGCCCAAAATTAGCTGCCGTCCAGTAGACTTCCAATTAGCTGCCGTCCAGTAGACTTCCAATTAGCTGCCGTCCAGTAGGCAGAGGTCATGACTATGTCTATGACCCCTCTTGTAGTTGGAACTTCAACTAGAACCGCTGTTAGGAGTCTAGAAATAAAGTTAGTTAACGAACGATGTTAGTTCCTCTTCCTTAGGAATAGTAACTGTTGGCCAAGTATCCATTTGGGATGCTGCCGTCGACGAGGATGACTGGATGGTTATGTCATTCTGAACTACCTTTTGAGCATTACACAGGGAGTGAGAGAGAGCGGAGGTGGTTCCCTTTAGTTAGGACAACTGCCTCATGGGTCGGTCATCCTGAACGAAAACTAGGTGCAGGATC